TGCTCATAAAATTCTTTCACAAGCCTTTGTTCTCTCTTTGCTGCTCCATGTGCTCTCCTTTCCCCTGCTTTCAGTTTCAAACACAGGAGTTAACCTCACAATTCCTGTAATCTCTTTCTCACTCAGCACTTCTGACACCATGTAATACTTCTGAGGTTTGTTACACAACAAGCCAGTGAATGAGCAAGGAATAAAACTTACAAAACAAAACAAAACCCAAAGAAACCCCAAACTAGAGAGTTTATCTGGTGAATTGCTGTACCCAACTATGCTGTGTTCTCCACTCCAGCTACCTGGACACATCTCAAAATTCCTAATACTGCCCCTTATAAGATGCACCTCTATATTAAAATCTTGCATAAACCTATTCACTTCAGCAAATGTACACCACCGTTACAGCAATGTCTTGAGATGTGAAGAAAAATGATACTGAGAGGCTGAGGTGTGTCTAATTTCTCCAGCTGTAAAACACAGATGACAACTGTAGCTCACATAGGGGGTGTCTAGCTTACTAACCACAACATTTACCATTTAGACCACATTCTACAGCTTCACAGACAAACACCTAAGAACTCTGAAGGCAATGACACTAGAGGAGTGTCATTACAAAGCCCTGGCTTCTATAAAATGTAGTTACTTTTTCCTGTGACTTTAATTCCAGAGTGGCTTGGGAATTATGGGAGAGACTAGAGTCTAGACAGAATAATCCAAACAGAAAGGAAACCAAGGAGGAGGGATTTACTTCAATGAGTCAAATTATAATGACAACTGCCTTGAATTCATAGGGTTTTAAAACAGGTTAAAAAATGTACCTTTTCTCCTAGTGAAGACATGGCCCAAGGGGCTAAAGGCTAGATCAAAGGAATTTAAGATTCTCATTGTGATTAGTTCCAATGAAATTTAGGCGCCTAAATACCTTTGAAGAGCTGCACCTAGAAGACTAATTTTTTTGGTTGTATTCCTGGTTCTGCACCACTGATTTACTATGTGAATGTAGGTGAATTAGACAGCACTGAGGGGTAGGAAGCTGATAGACCCACTGCCCCTCACTCCCACCACTTTTATACCATTGTTCTCACTCCATCTGTTAGTTTCAACTTCTCTCGTGTCTTATACTCAGATTATAAAGTCATTGGTGCAGGTCCCATCTTTTTGTTGAGGTTGTATAACACTTGGCACAGTGGGATTCTGGTCCATCTCTGGGGCTCCTAAGTGTGTCTGTCTATACTCAGGGCATGTCTACACTGGGGAGTTATTTCAAAATCACTCCCCTTATTTCGAATTAACAAGGCAAGAGTCCACACTACCAAGCCTGTTATTTCAAAATAAGGGGCTTGTTATTTCTAAATAACTCCTGCTTGTGAAGAGGAATAAGCTTATTTCGAAATAGCTATTTTGGGAGTTATTTAGAAATAACTTATTTCAAAATAACCTGGTAGTGTAGACATAGTCTCTGAGAGTGCAATACTTTCTGAAAAATCAAGCTACTTTGAGGGGTCTGATGTTGGGCTCCCACAAACTGAGATACAAAAATCATAGGTGTCTTCTGAAAATGTAGGCCTATGTCTTCACAGCACTGTGAAAATAGGAATGCTCATAAAATGGTCGCAGAGCCTAGAATGAATGACAATAAAGATACAATAAAATTATTGGTGAACCCAAAAACAAAAACCACAAAACAAATAAATGAAAGTTTACTTTTTGCAAATAAATGAAAGTTTACTCTTTATTTTCTTTGCACCCCTTATTCCAAACAAAACTGTTTTATAAGATTATTAAAAACAAATATATTGCCACATTCTTATTGAAACCAGAAGAGTCCTCAAGACAAATGATTAAAACATGGGCCAAGAAATTATAATAGCAGAAAACACATTTTAAACCAGATCAATTACAAACATTCAGTGTTGCTCTTACTGGCATAATCAGGAAATCTAATGGATAAGACACTGGTCTTGGAATTAGTGGTTCTGGCTTAATTCCAGGCTATGCCACAGATTTCCTACACCTCCTTGGGTAAGGTGCTTAATCTCTTTGTGCCTCAGTTCTCCAACTATATAATGGGGACAATAATACTTAAATATTTCAAAGTATGAATGGACCATTATGCTCATCTAAATTGACCTCCTGTATAACACAGACATGGAATTCCACCCAGCAATTTCTACTTCAAGTCCATAAGTTGCGGTGGCACTAGAGCATGTCTTTAAAAAAGCCATCTAATCATGACCTTCTCCTACTCTGTGTCTGCCTTGTTCAACTGCAAGCTTTATGTGGGCAAGGGCTGTCTCTTTACTATATATAAGTACAACGGCCAGCATGATGAGGCACTAACTGCTGATAGGACATCTAGGCATGTCTGTAAAACAAAAAAATCTATTATAATACAATTAGTAGCAACCACAAACCAAAACACTGGGAGCACAGTATCTGAACTCCTGCTCAGAAGCCTTGCCTAGACTGCTTCTGAAACAACTGGTACAGAATTCTTGGGTAGAATTACACATAATTTTCTCCCATCAGGATCATAAACTTTATGATCCTTTGGAAAGTGCAGCTTTGCAAGGAACGACAAAATAAAACAATAAGCTCAGCCCTGAGAAGTAACAACCTCTTGTGGCTTCTGTAGCTTTGGTAATAGCTGGGAAATTATGACTGCCAGTCCTTATATAAAATATCACCCTTTTCCCATCCAGTCCTGTTTGGTATTGTTAAAATTTGCGGATGACACAAAGTTGGGAGGTATTGCCAATTCAGAAAAGGATCGGGATATCATACAGGAAGATCTGGATGACCTTGTAAATTGGAGTGATAGCAATAGGATGAAATTTAATAGTGAGAAGTGTAAGGTTATGCATTTAGGGATTAATAAGAATTTTAGTTATAAGCTGGGGACACATCAGTTGGAAGTAACAGAGGAGGAGAAGGACCTCGGAGTCCTGGTTGATTATAGGATGGCTATGAGCTGCCATTGTGACATGGCCGTGAAAAAGGCTAATACGGTCTTGGGATGTATTAGGCAAGGTATTTCCAGTAGGGATAAGGAGGTGTTAGTGCCATTATACAAGGCATTGGTGAGACCCCATTTGGAATACTGTGTGCAGTTCTGGTCTCCCATGTTTAAGAAGGATGAATTCAAACTGGAACAGGTACAAAGAAGGGCCACTAGGATGATCCGAGGAATGGAAAACCTGTCTTATGAAAGGAGACTCAAGGAGCTTGGCTTGTTTACCTTAACCAAAAGAAGGCTGAGGGGGGACATGATTGCACTTTTTAAATATATTAGAGGGATAAATACCAGGGAGGGAGAGGAATTATTTAAGCTTAATACCAATGTGGACACAAGAACAAATGGATATAAGCTGGCTAGTAGGAAGTTTAGACTTGAGATTAGACAAAGGTTTCTAACCATTAGAGGAGTGA